ACTCCATTATCGTCACTTACTGGTGAAATGGTGCAAAAAAGATTGATTAGAAAATCAACATTAATGCACATACTTACACTCTGTATGGACCAAACACAGACGAGCAGAGTGATACAGAGTTCTCATAAGATTCTCAGTGCTGTTGGACTGTTATATTAATGCCTTTGGAAAGCTGCTCGGTATTTGAGAACCGGAATCAACTATTTTAAAGTCTCTTAAAAGTAAATAATTGTAATTTTGAAAGAAGAAGGCGAGAGGTAGAAAATGACACCTAGATGTAAATATTTACTTTGCAGAAAGACAGCAGCACACTCATGTATATTATGCACACGCTTCCTCTGTGATGTGTCAAATTTGTCACAATTGCATATATTTGTTAAATCTCCTGCACCCACTTCCCCTCTTGCTTTTAATGTACATAAGCTCACATGAAAGACTCCAGTCATTTCATATTCTACAAAATATGCTTTATTTTAATGCAGCAAGTCCTCTCATGGGGATAGCGTGTCGAGATTATATGACCGACCAAACACTATATTTTTGTGTTCGTAAGTAGAATTGTGTCATGATTACTATTTTGAAGTGTTGTGTAATTATGTTTGTGAGAAGAGAAGTGCTGTGTAAAAAAATGGATCAAGTTAGCTACTTCTGTCTCGTGTGCTTCAAAGATACCACACTATACTTTATACTACTAGTGCTTCTATATATTTGTATTTTTTTTTCTGCAGTCTCTATCTTTGTTTTTAATCTCTGAGCGTACATTTGTGCAGCTTTTCAGTCATTCAAAACCAAGTAGAGACTAGAGGTGCTAGAGAATGGGTACATAATGCCAGAAGAGTCATCAGACTCATTAATATCTTTATTTACACTCACACATGGTCAGCCATGGATAAAAATCTGAACACAGACTCAAAACACTCTGTACACCTCTTCATTATACCCTTCATGTCATCATTCTGTTCAGTTCAGTTTAGTTTTCATGGACTTTCAGTTTGTTTTCAATTGTCATGTTTCTTTGTTCTGATTAACGTCACTCACCAGTATCCTTGGTAATCATATATTAATTCATCCGTGTCAGCTGTGTTAGTTTAATCATCTTGTTTGAGTTTGTGTCACCTTATCCTGCACTCTTTGTCCAGTATTGTTAAAACTATGGTGTGTGTTTGTGTTCTTTGTATGGATCGCTACCTGTTGGATTATTGTTAGTAAAGTTACCCGTTTGAATCTTCATCTTCTGTGTCTACGTCTTCCTATCTGCATGCACCCGTTACCCTTCATAATTGGGTTTTAGGTTTTAGTTTTTAATGAGGCTATTATTTAGATGCTACTTGTACTTAGTGCAAATAGTGGCAGATACTATTTGCACCTCAAGTGTATTGTGGTTTTTTATAAAACAGTATGCAATAATAAGAACATTTTCAGTGTGATTATATTTATTAAATTCATAAATTTATGCTGCCTTATTAGGACATTATTGTATCCATAAAGACTCTACACTTATCCATATAATAATATTGAACCAGTTGAACTGTAAAGGTATCTCAAAAGGTCCAAGAAGGGAGCCATAAGTTTTGAGTGTGGCAATATCGTGTTGAGGTTGATGTGCAACCCATCCGATCAGGGGTGGGCTAAATGGCAAAAATATAATATCACAATTTTTTTTTCCAGACATATTACGATTTTAACACGATTATTTTTCATGTTGGTTTTACTATTTTGCAAGTGACTGAGCATTACAGCCAAAATAATGTCCCTATTTTAAAAACAAAGCCTTACAACGTAACACAATATAAAATAAATACGAATGGCAGACATAAGCCAAAATGGCAAAGATAAAAACTTTTTTTTTTTTAATTACAAAGAAAATATTGACAAAGATACACATTAAATATACAAAACATTATATAAAAATGAAATAAACCATGCTTTATTTGTTCAGCTACAGTTGGGGTATTTAATAGCAGCATTGAAGAAAGAAATTAAATGAACAAATAAAAATAAAATACTACATTGACTACACCTGACAAATTGTTAACTTGTTATAAATAAAACGTAATATAATGTGGTAACCTCCAACTGTCATGATTTCCATCTATCAGCATGCTATTTGGATCTTATCTCTAGGCCTTATCTTATCTCTAGGCCTTCAATCCAAATAACATCAAGATGCTTTGCAGCACATCTAAACGGATACATATGTTTAGATGTACAGTATTATGGTCTCCAGGTTGTGGTATAAACCTCACACAGCTTGTCTTTTTCATTATGAACCTTGCAACTATATTTCTTTTTACTGCCAGTCCAGTTTTCCCTTTGAGGCTTTCTTGACAAAATTTACTAACATCTTTCCTGACTGATAATCCCCAGTACATTTCCCTTACTGTGATAGATGCAAATAGATTCATTCTCTTTTGAGGGAGACTTTTATCCATAGCAACTTGCCTTGCATTCAAACTACACATTTGATCAGTTTATGTATTCGCTTATTAAAGGTAGGGTGCAATTTCAGAGTGGCTAGTAATAGCAAGCTAGCTTTGAAAGCATAAGATCCCACCCTCCCTTCAGAGCACCTCCAAAGCCACACTTCCTCCAAAACACATGAACAAACATATCAGATTTTGCTAAGCGCAAGACAAGTGACGGCGTTTAAGTACCTCATGTCTCACAGCACATAACATTACAATAATATTGAATGTAAACAACTTACAGAGCTCTTACTTTTACCACTTGAATGCAGCAGATTCATTTTGGCATTAATAGTGTTGACATAGAAACACATAAATCCGAGTCTGAGTAATCAGGGTTCCTACATGGCGTGAACTTAGCATAAGCTTGTTGGTTCAGGAGGAAACCCAACTCTGCATTTCCCAGCCCGTTCTCACCCTTTAACGTCATATAGAACGCGATATGCAAAAACGGCGCTATACTACGCACATGGCACCCTTTATCGTTAATATAACACGCGAACCCAAGACGTTATAAATCCTTTAGCGTGAATATGACACGCACACCCTACCCCACACCTAAACTTAGCCCTCACAGCACGTGTTATATTAACGATAATGGGTGCCATGTGCGTAGTAGCGCCGTTTTGTCATATAGCGTTCTATATGACGTTAAAGGATGAGAACACGTTGGCATTTCCTTACAGAATGTACTCATGACTTGTGATGTCTGCGTGAGCAGGTGCACGGAGGCTTAGTCAACCAAAATGTTATTAGTCATTAAAGGTGCTTTTTTAGCGGCCTCTAACGGTCATGTTTCAGATTGCAGCCAATTTTTACAAGAGCGCTTGTGCTCTTGCGCGTGCTCGAACACAAGAGCGAGAACTCATGCACGGCCACACTGAGACTTTCAACACACCAGAGAAAGTATCACACAACATGCTGGAAACTCATGTAAACTCCCACTGCAACGTTACAATAACAGTCTACTTTTATCAGCTTGACGTTGAACTAATGCTCCATGCTCGAACCATGATAATGTTACATTTGTGGTGTTATCTAGCATAAGGCATTTCACTAACTATTTGTGTATCTTTCACAATCAGCAATGTCAACATAGACGAATGTATAATATGATAACGAAAACGGTTAGTGAACTAAACTGAACAATTTCAGTGTAATAGTAAGATTGTGGGAAGTAACATTACAGTACTGAACGTGTCTGGAAATGTGCATTATAAACAATAATGATAGTAGTGGGATGAGTGACATTAGACAGTAGATCTACATAAAATAAAAGGTTACATCCTAAAGAACCCACGTTTTGTTATCCTGGAACAGTCTGTATTCATTTCATATCTCATATATGTTGTAGTTTACCTTGCTATTTCATTACAGTTTACCATTATTTGTTTCAGCATATCTGAAAACTTGTAATTTATCACAGGTCTCTCCATAATTCAAACGCTCTGCCGATGTTGATCGTGTTTTTGTTATAAGTCGATCTGATTCACGTTCGACCAGACGAGCTTCAGCAGCTATTTTGTTTTTTTATATGTGAAGTTTGTGTTGGAGTGTGTGTTGTGCTGGAGCCAGGTCGTTTTTTGGTGTTATCAGACTCCATGTCATTCGCTGCAGTGCCGTCGCATAGACTACATATAAAAAGGAGAGAGGCTCGAGAGTCCGCATGCACGTCACATCCGATGGATTTCGCAGAAAATCCGACCCGGAGACTTCACATAGAAATTGGCCTTCAGAGGTAATAGCAAAACCTGACAAGTGGATCATTGTAATGTGTGATTACAACCCCCTCACACACAGGGAATAAAAAAAGGATTCATTTTAGAATGAAAGTTACATATAGCACCTTTAAGTTGCAGGGGGGAAAAAAACTCAATTAAGTCACGCAGTCTGTGAGGAACAGATTGTTAATGGCTGTGGTAATTATAGTATGTCAGGCAGGGAATCCAAATGTTTGCCTATCATCTATTCTATTGACTTTAAATAAGGCTTTGAGCTTCCAAAAAAACAATAAGGTTCATTCAAGTGTGTGGCACGTTTGACATCTAGTTCATATTTCTATTACCATAAGTAAAAAGGTGTTCCTGCTGGTTTATATTAAACGTTGGAACAAAACGTCAAGCCTGCAGCTTTATAACCTTGTTCTAATGTAGAACAAAACACCTTTTTTTAAAAAAAACAATTGTCAATAAACAGACGTCAAAAAAGCTGTTTGCATTGACATTTAAAGTTTAAATTGTTCTTGTGTAGGCAAGCACCAGCCACATGCATAACAAATATGTGATTTGAAACATTTAGCATTGAATTATGTGATAGTTGACAAATGTAAAGATGAGTTGTATTCTGGTGATTAATTCGTATGTTCTCAGTAGCCTACATGTCGATCTTGTGTTTAAACGCAAACACAAAGAGTCCGCCTAAAAAACACAACAAATTACATGGATATTACAGCTGTATAGATAGACTATTTGAAAATGTAGACAACAATTTCGAAATGTAGCTGTTTTTGTTTTTTGTTTGTTTTAGGCAACGTACCGAAGCATGAGTTGATGAAGCCGTACCACATGCAGCCGTTCCGTCCGAGTAGCCACCGTCCCCGCACACTGGACGCAAAGCTCAGGGTCGTCCCAAACAAACACACCAGCATGTCACTGACGCTAATGTTAAGAAGCAGCATGTTCACCGGCGTCCGGAGCATCTTGAATTTACAGAAGAGGACTAATACAATAAAGTTGTTGAAAAAGCCAAAAGTCATTATGAATCCGAGGAACACGGACAGGGCGATGAAGCCCGCGCGAGAGAGCGTCTCCACCGGCGAGTCGTTCCAGTCCTCGTCCAGAGGAGTTAACCGGTCTTCCTCGCTCATGTTAAAGCTGTAGTTCAAATCAGCCTGCTCGGAAAACATTGTTAGGAATAGTTATTCTGAGGAAGCGATTTTTCTTTCTTTTTTTTTCTTTTTTTTTTTTGAGGGGAAATTCTCTAGTCTAACTGTATCTCCTTCACTGAACACCTCAGCGTACTCCGGCGCATCAGCATCATGATTCACTTAGAAATGATGATGATGGTGATGATTCTCATTGACAGCGCGCTTCACCTTTGCACTTGGACTTTTGAATATGACAGATATGCGCTTCGCTTGAATCTAAATAGACACGTACACTTACTAAGTACTAATAGTAGATGTCTTCTAATTAAGGTGCAGGCTATCCATGACATAACCTAGATCTGACTGACTAAACGATTGATGTTTTTTTACGAGGTCGTAGAGCGCGTACGTGTCGCAGCAACGTACTGTGATGAATAATTAATGTTGACCGTTTGATGTCCGCGCTACTTCGTTTGTCTACACATTGCATCCTTAGAAGCAAAGCGTTCCCTTCTGAGTCCCAGCTGTCGTTCTGTAGGCTATTCCAGCTGAGTGCGCGAGCTTTGCTGGACGCGCAACAGGAGTGTAATATAAAGGCATCTTGACGTCACGAGACTTGACTAACTGACTAACCAACCTGATTGAAAAAAGTACTCTAAATATTTGCTAGTTAGCCTACTGGTAATCACCATAACAATGATGGTAGAAACAGAAGTGTAAATCATCAAACTCATTCCATGAACAATTAATATAAACATCAATGTTCATAATCCAGCACCAGTAGAAATTCAAAATAATGATAAAGTAGCAATTTATAAAGAAACAACTGAATGTAGCTATGTAACTATTAAAACAATAAGTAGGCTACAATATCAAATCCCTAGTATTCACTTATTTCATCCCCCAGGGAGCTCACATTGTCAGGGATCAGAATCAGTTTAAATGGCTATGGCTGTCTGGGGACTAAAGCCTTTCGCAGAGATTACTACCAGATGGATGCGCTCCCTTATCCATTCAGCGTTAACATAGATGTCAATGTAAAAGGGGAATCAGACAAAAGCATGGCCGCAAGCAGGGTTTTGGAAATACCAAGGTTTACCAGTGCTTTTCAAGTCATCTAAAAGGGCAACGATTGAACAACAATGTTCAGATTTAAAACCATCCCAGTCTTTTTGTTTCCATCTGTGTCAGTGAAAAAGAAGTAACTTGGTCGTGCAAAAAATGCATTTGGGATTGCAATGACAGCATTAGGTAAATCATAATGGAATAATAATATATTTTTATTCTTTCTTTAAATCTCTTTAAATGTTGAGCCAGGGATGGACACATCCATATATAAAGGTTGCAGCTGCAGGGCAATCTGTCACTCACATGAGATCACAGCAGCAAACCACAACCATCCAATCAATTCCCAATAAAAAAAAAAAAAAAAAAACTTCCGCCAATACACTTTTCCTTGTTCAAGAAGTTGTTTTACTTGAATATCTGTCGCAACAGAGAAGAAAATACTATGGCAACTTCCGTATCATGCCGACTTTAGCCCCAATTGAGTTGTTTGAATCCCTGGATATTAACATTCAACTGTTATAACACATTTGTCAAATATTAAACGTTCAGCTACTTGCATCTTACATCTTATAGAATTCACATTGATATACCATCTCAGTAAATTTGGAAATTCACAAGAGAAAGCCAATAATCTTGTCATTGTACAAAATCGTTCAATGTATTAATAGGCAATTATTTCACAACTTTTATCTCTTGAAAAATACAGAGGCCCAGACCTCAGGGACCTAAATGTGGAATGCCATGTGAAGAGGAAGAATCTCAGGTCATTTGGTCTTTTTATTACAAATTCCCTTATAGATGCTGTTTAAGGTAATTTATTTATTTATTTTATTTTATTTTTAATTCTTAAAGGTAGGGTGAAAAAAAGCATAAGACTTGAAATGTTTGCATTGACACTATTTTATTTCAGAGAAATACATTTTTATTTCCTTGTATTTTGTAAAATATTAGTAAAAAAAAAAGGTTTTAGGCTACCACAAATGTCTAAACAACAATAAATACTGTACATGTACTTAAGCAAAACCTTTTTTTTTTTTGCCCCATCTTTTCTCCATGTGTTTCAGCATTCACCTTTTTTTTGTTGTTTTTTTTTTTTTAGCTTTTTTTAGCTTTTTTTATGGTAAATATATTTAGTCAGTGCTTTCAACATAAATCTATACTTGTACTATTAGAGGCCAATAACATTTTGTCTATTTCTAACACCCAGTACTCTATTAGAGATTCAAATCATCTCAGTTAACAAGATGATGACAGATGATGTCATAAATTAATAAATAGTTTTTACTCAGTTTGTCATAGATAAACCTATCGATGATCTTGTTCTGAAATACAGTTGTTGCTATTCTGTGTCATTGTGGTACTGTCTGTTTAGAACCGAGGAAACACAAAATCATGAACTTGCAGTCATAAAACAGTCGGTGACCATAAATGTCAATAGCTTTGTTTGTATTGGTGACTTGTAATGCTTTAGTTTGATGCTCCTCTATAAATGCAGTCACCTTGTTGATTTTCCTAGAGAACATGAAGAACTGCCCTGCACTGGCGTCTCAAATAAAGCCTTTAAGCTGTGTAGTGAGCAGAATGCTTATCCCTAAAACATAAAGACCAAACATGACCTCAGGATGCCGTTTCTCACGCACACTCACATTGAGAGGGTGAGCAATGTGCCATAAAACTTTAGAGTGGCAGAGTTCATGTTAATCCTCCTCTACTGAGGAGAACAAATAATGATTTTTTTCACAGTATGCACCATATGGCAGTGAAGAAAATGACTATTTCTGCTAAATCTGTTATACATAGAAAAAGTAAAGGCTGCTTTTTTTTAAAGTCCAGCAATATTCATTACTGTACAGTAATAATTAATTTATACTTTACTCAATAATGTTTTGTTTAACCCTTAGAGATGCTATTAAATATTTAGGTTGGTTCTTGCATTTATGATTTGGATTCACATCTATATCTAAACGGATGGATCTCTACCTTTCACAATAATCATAAAACTCTCCTGATATTGCAATAACAACTACAGAAGAATAAAATAAAGCATATGTTGTTACCGTTTGGAGCTTGGAAGGGTTCAGTTTGAGCAGATGTTTTATACCGTCACTGTCCTCGTCAGAGCTCAGCATCTAATAATACAGTTTTTTTTTTAATTCGCTTTGGTACTATTTTCACAAAAAGGTGTACATTTTCAAAACGTTTAGTACAAAAATCCAAACTGATCACACTTGTAACACAGTAGTCATTCTTCCAAAACATGATCCAGGGCCGGCCCGAGGCATAAGCGAACTAAGCGGCTGCTTGGGGCCCCCTGGCCACCAGGGGGCCCCCTAATCGAGGTTATTTTTTATTTTTATTTTTTTAGATGACTTAAACAAGTGACATAAATCAATGAATGAATGAATATGACTGAATGAATAGTTCAAGACAACAAAATTCTGATTTAATGGTCAATATACCTGCCTACAAGTTACAACTGCTGCTCTGTCTGCCAGCGTTTAAGTCATGATACGCATAATCTTCTAGACACCTCGCGCGTGCATAGACAATTCGTGCGCAACTGCGCCTAGTCACGGTATCGGTTTAAGTTGGAGAAAATAGCCCGCAGGAGAACTTATCCTTCAAGGTGTAAGGGTAGCAGTTTGAATAAATAATAAACATAGCAGTTTGAACTCTTCTCCACTTTATTATACCACACATCAGATCTCCAAACACCCGCGACACTCCAGTAGCCTAGCAAGTGCGCACGACCCATCTACGGCAAGCCCCGAGGGGAAAAATACATTGCATACACACATACAACGAGCGCCAGAAAATCATAACCGGTATTATAGTAACAGACTGTGTTGATTATGTCATGTACTATATAACAAAGTCTGTTACAATAATAATAATAACAATAATAAAGATTTTGAGGATAGTTACTCTGTATTGAGACAGTTGAGAAATAGGCTAGTAATATTTTTAGTTTTCAACAATAGCTGAGACCCAGAAAGTTTTTTTTTTTTAATTTAGTTTTTTTTCATGTCATCACATTGTTTAGAGCATAATAAACAAATGGTAAAAAAAAAAAAAAAAAACCTTTTTGAAAAATTATATTTTATTCATATGTAATACTTTGTCCTCTGTAGTGGACACCAGGACTCAGTTGTTAAAATTAAATGGCATACAATGTGTAGGCAAAAACAATGGGATTTTTTTTCCAATCACCAATACATTTTGGGGTTTCAGGATTTTTTTGAACTAAAATTTGTATAAAGATGATTATCAACTATGTTATGAAAGATATAATGGAATTAATTGATACACCAATTTACTTTATGCAATATATGGGTAAAATTGGCATAAATTAATATTCCCATTCAATGCAAAGTATCTATACACTGTATCTAATTTGCACATTAATGTGTTCTTGGAGCAACATTTAATGAGGAAAGAAGTGTAAGCATTGGCGTAATAATAAGCAACATTTTAATAATAATATCTAATATGTCATAAGAATATTGACGTATAATTTATTTACATATTCACTTGTTATGTCTCCCAGAATGCCTGATAAACATGATTTATGTCCTGATGTTCTCTACAGTGGACATGAATGAAATCAATGCCCTGTAACGCAAAGTCATTTTTTTCATTTGAAACCCCATAACATTTTCATGAGATGTTGGTTGATGAAATACAATTTGAAAAGTAGTTAGATTTAAATTATAATTACAATATATTACCATATTTCAAAAAGAGTGCTACATTTGATCACTAAATTAATGTTAGACATTTTTAAAGACCAAGGAGAAGTTGTTTTCATGGTGAAACCTCCAAACATTTGGTATCTCTGTATTGCCCTGAATGTGCTCTTTACAGGACATCCAGAAAAAAAAATGTGACATGCATGGTGTCAGAGAAATACACTAAAATATAATGTCCACTACAGTGGACAAAAGTCTATTCCTGGGTCCCAGGAGGATAGGCCAAAGTATCATTGCTCTTACGTTTCTAATTTCTCAGTTTTGTCATAATTTTAGCAAATAATTTATTGTATATGTTTTGAGACAGTTTTAAGACTGTTTTCAAACTTTTTTATTTAAGTAGGCATCTATTTTTTTATTACATAACCTCATTAAGTGTATTCATTTATAATGTATCATTTTTGCGTGACATTTATGTCAATAATCGTCAAACACAGGTGACTCCGCGTCGTGGGAGGGGCCCCCAAATCAAATTCTGCTTAGGGCCCCCAAAAGGCTCGGGCCGGCGCTGACATGATCCCATGGTTTCATTACAGTTATACATTTTCCAGTTCACGTAATGGGATTATTTGGTTTAATCACAGAAACACAACAGTATTTTCAGCTTAGTACTAGTTCCAAAAGCAAAGAATGCAAGATACATGTTTCAAATCGGCCTTAGAAGTGCTGAAATTAATGTGCTACAGTACTATAAAAGACAGATTACACGGTTTTCACATTAGGCAATATACTTAGATTACC